TCAAAGTGGAAAAGCATATGTTTACAAAAGTTCGCACATGCAAACTGATATTTATTCTAGCACGAAAACAATGGCATTTAAACACAAACAAGCACACAAATATACGTACGCGTACATTCATGCAAATGGACATATGTGCCAAAAACAATATCAATCGTAAAAATAGCGAAAAAGGAAATCAAAATAAACATTCATATACATAGATACATATCTACATTTAAACTTATATTCATACAAATATCCCCTTCCATATACAATACAAATAGTCATGTACATACATACATATGTATGTGTGTATGTACACACATACTAAATACACATGCATGTATTTACTGCCTGTACAAGTATTACGTGCCGGCCCCACTGGCTTGTGGGCATTTTGGAGCGATTTAATCTCAACGGCAGGCGTCCAACAGCTGCGTCATTCGCCAGCGACAACAACACAGGCATGACCGCCACAGCAGTAGCAGTTGACGCCAACTGGCAAAGCTTTCGAATTATTGGAAAATTTAATTTTTCCCATGCGTGTTTGTTTGCTGGAAACAAAACAAAACACAATGCCAAAAAAAAAAAAGTACTACAACAGCAGCAACATGTCTGCCACACTTAAAAGTACACGAAATATACAGTAATAACAAGAGTAACAAAACAATTTGCGAGTAATGCTCCGTGCAAAACAAGAGGGACCCCGCAAACCAACACCTGCGCGGCCAGAACAGCGCCCGTTCACAAGCCGGCAGCGAGCTGTTTGGTGCTACGGCTTTGTGCTTTGTTTAACACAAATTGGCAGCAGCTCACATTTCCGGTTCCGGCTTTTGGCACACACATTCAACGGCACACTTTTTTTTTTAGCAGCAGAACATTGGGCTTCAGGAGGCAGCAATTGGCGTGGGCGGTTAATAGGGGTAGCCGAAAAAACAATGTGAGAAGAGAAATGTTATGTTTTCAATGCGTTTTGTTGTTGCGTTCATCCTATTTTTCTATACTTATATATGTATTTTGTATTTGTTATTTCGGCTTAATGCTTACTGCTCTCAGCTATTATTCAGCTACCCACAGAAAATCATTCGCGCCAAAGCTTTACACCGCTATTCGTTTTTTCATTCTATTTTATTTCCATTTTTAGTTTTGCGCTTATGATTTCTTTTTACTTTCTTTTAAACCGACACCCGCCACAGCCCCAGTCAGCCCTACCTAGGGGAATTGTTTTGTTGTTGTTGTTGTTGTTGTTTTGTTTTTGTTGGTTTTTGTTAGCGTTGTGGGAACGCGCTCAGCTGTTGGTTGTGTCGGAAATGGCGTTAATGTTGCATCGTTGGCGATATTCTGCTGCTGCCACTGATTCCAATGCTTCGCTTTACGCTGTGTTGCCAATGAAATAAAACTTAATCTTCTTGGGATTTAACACTTTCCAATATTTCTTGGGAGCAAATATTTCGCTTTTTTCCACCATAGCCACCACACCATTTGTAATGTTTGTACACTTTCGCAACAACAACACCGCACAAATTCACACGCCCAGTGCGCTGCTGCTGGCACAGTAGCGTTTGTGTGGGTGTACATATATGGCAGGAATGTGTAAGCGTTTACGCCGTTTTTTTTTTTGTTGTTATTGCATTTATGTGGCTGCCATAGTTTTATGGCTTTTTTGAGGAAAAAAAATATATTGAATCCATTATCGGTTTAGCTCTACGCTGTTGCCGATACTTTACGGTCGCGATTTTCTCGAACGCACGAATATGCAGTTTCCTGCATTTTTCATGATTCTCATTTTGCCTGCCTGCTTCTTGCCAGCACCGCCGATATTTTTCTAAGTAGCAGGATAAACATTTATTGCAGTTCGACAGCTGGTTTCCAGCGTCATCCGTGGCTCCTGATATACAACTTGAGGATTTTGTTTTCGATTTTTATTTCCCTTTTCTTTTCGGTGAACTTTTTTATATTTTATGGTAGCGTTTAGCTCGCTTTTTAGTGGATAAAAGCTTTTGGATGAATTTAAATTATTTAACAAAAATCGTTAGTATCAATCACGAAAAGTTGCAGAAAAATTGAAGCTTTTTACATACATTTTGCTCAACCACACGCATGCATACAAAGTTACATACAGAGTCAGAGTTATCGTTTTGCTACTTGGGATTGCTTTTACGTACTTTGTATGTATTTTACTAGCTGACCCCGCAGGCGTTGTTCTGCGTGAAATTTTTTGAAAAGAAAAGAAAGTTGAATTTATATTTTGTTGAAAATCATTTTGTATGATTTACATTTTGTTTTATGTCACGCAGTTTGATAAACAACATTTTTTGTTTTCTGTTCCGGTGCGTAAATGTACAGCCAAGACGATTTTCACACTCGTGAACACGCCTCGTATAGCTGGCCGTACGAAAAACATGGCAATTCCAGATTTCTGCCACACATTTCCAGTCACTGTCCTTGTTTAACTGGAAACAGAATACGTTCGGACTAAAATGGCAAATCGTTGAAACCCAAAGGATTTCGTGGAATTAAGCATTGTGACCCTTGTAAGTCCCTTTCAAAATTCTTGCACCTATCACATTATTCGATTGCTGTGCCGACCGATATTAACGCGACCTCTTCGTGGCATCGTAGCATTGATCACTTCGTATGAAACACACATAAAGATTTCACTAAAAAATTTTCCAAAATTTACCTTTTAAATAGCCGAAATAAAGGAAGCAATCGACTGAAATTGAACGAGTAAACTAATTTACAAATCAGCTAAAGAAGTAACACAAATAAGTTCCAATGGAAATGAGGTTAGGTTTATTCACCAACAAACTGTCCGGAGAAACGTACCAGAAAGAAAAACAAATACAAAAAAAAGAATGTTTCCGACTTTTCCGCAGAAAAAGTATACGGTTTTTTTTATTTCTAAGCCTTCCCAGATCTACAACGAACAACCTCTGCAAATTTCATCATCACCCGTTCTCGTGTCTTAGCGTCACTAACAAAAATTCAGTTTGATATATAATATTAGGATTATCATTATTATTATTGTCAACGCAGTCGCGTGGCCTGCAGAGGCAATAGCCTGCACTCCCGCTAGACTTTCAAAGTGACCAAGAACTTACCAACTATACCCTCATAAAATCGTCTCGGACCATTATTTTGAATAAAAGCCGATATGACTACGTAAAGAGTCTATCGTTCGGCATATTATCTACCACTGGACGTTCTTTACGCAATAGTGGTTAAAGGTGAACAAATATTAGACACATGTAGGAAGCGAAAGTGCTGATATAGACGAAGTTATGGTGAAGTCTCAATCTTTAAGGACCTGAGTAAAGGAAAATTCATCGAATGCACAAGTGAGGGCTAATGACTCCACCACCTCCAAAAAGATACACATTGTGAAGACCCCAAGTCCAAGGCCTTGGAGCCTCCACAGCAACAACAACAACAACAACAGGATATATATACACGAAACATATATATATTTACACATACATACAAATATATATATATATATATATTAAACAAATATATATATATAAACATTTACATATATACATACCTATACATATATATATATATATATATATATATATANGCTTTGGAAATCGAGATTATAGGAGAGACCCATAATCCGGCTGAGAGATAGCCCAGCTATAAACCGGAGAACCGAGTACGTTACAACATTGAGGATCGAGAGGGTTTTTAGCAAATAAAGGAGTTTCCCGAACTCCATATGTGACAGATATGAGCAATAAAATTATTCATATATGTTGATATTTCAACGAACCCAAACCCAAAAACTAAAATAAATGAACTCAAAGTATTCTCCCAGCATCATCCTCCTCACCATTAATATATTTGCCATCGCTCTTGTTTAGTTCGCCTGCTGTGTCGTGTTGAGTAAACATGTATTCGTGGTGCTCGTCAAGAAAATGGAGAATCAAAATCAAGAGCAACGCATAGCATCGGAAACGTTCGTTGAAATTGGCCGGAAACCAAGCGCAAAAGCTCACAATCGTTATCTCCGCCCGAAAAAAGTTCGCATGAGCAAGTCGAAGGTGAAAACGATGATTATTGCGTTTTTTTGATAGTCGTAGAATCGTCCACAAAGAATTTCTTCTAGCGGGGCAAACTGTAAATCAAGTCTGCTATCGCCAAGTACTTTGGAAAATGAGTCAACAGGGTGCACTCAGACATCACTTGTAATTGAATCCTTCATCAACGCGCCGTGCCACACCGCCCTCAGCGTGTCCCAAAGGGATCGACGTGTTGCAACAACCGCCTCATTCGCTTGATATGTCACCCTGCGGCTTTTTTGTTCCCTAGAACAACACGATGGTCAAAGGAACCCATTTTGAGTCGATTGAGGCGGCCGTGATAAGGGACATCCCAATCGAAACGTTCCAGAAATGTAACGAAGCACGTGTTTTCCGCTGGAATCGTTGTATAGCTGCCCAAGAGGGCTACTTTGAAGGGGATGGCAAAGTTGTAAAATAGTAAAATAATTTTAAAAAATACGGGTTTTTATGGAATCAGTCTCATTACTTAATTGTCACACCTCGCATTATATTATACATGTATATAGTATACATATGTATGTAACTGCACACAAAGACAATGACAATAGTCATAGTAACAATTATAAGTTAAGGGTCATTTTTATTTAAATGTAAATATATAACATCATACTATATTATACATATGTACACGTGTTCAAAATTTGCTCGCTCACTCAGAATCAATTTAATAATAATCGTTCTTAGTTCTACTAAATTTTTACAATATAATTAGTTTAAAGATAGGTTTGTATAAAAATGTAAGTATGTCCATATGTACTCGTGCATTGTAATATAAGATTTAAGGCAGGTATGTAGGGTTTAAAATGTGATGTCATAGGCCGCTATTGGTTTATAATTTGAAATAAATTTCAAAAGGCGGAATGAAGAATTCATGATGGGAACGATCCTTACGTCAAGAACCTTGCTAAGCGGAAACCTCAACAATGGTGGTAACCAGTGAAGAATGCTAACTAGACTTTCAGTATGGCCATTGAAACTGCCATTGACATTTTATTTAAAAAAAAGGCACTTAGATTAATAAAACCTGGTTCGTCTACGTTAACATTAACTAAAGTAATTTCTATAAAAAAATATTATTTATAATAACAATTTCATTTTGGTTTTAAATATTTAAATATATACAATAATGGAACGCATCATTTTCCACTTTTCGTTAGAGGTTAGAGTCCGGCTTTGCCGTTTAATAAATCTTCATATTGTTGCTCAGTTAACAAACGGTAAATGCCATCTTTGTTCAAATAGTAGATGGGATCCTTAACTCGGTGTATATCGAAAGAGTCACGGACGAGCTCTCGTTTCTTCAGCTTAAAAGTACCGGTACGTGGTATATCACTGACTAATCTGATAAAAAGTGGTCTCGCAAACGCCGGCAAACTGCCACGTACACCAGCCGATAAATGTTGCATATCAACTCTACGATCTGGATCCACTATAGCCGCCATGCCCGCTTTACCTTCCACATACGGTATCTGTAGACAATAATGTGTAAAAAATAATAAAATTTAGCACAAATAAAACTTACATCTACACCATAAGCGACACAATCTTGTAGGCCAACAACATTCGTAATATTCGCCTCCACTTCCAGCGTTGCTACGTTTTCGCCACGCCAACGGAATGTATCGCCAGTGCGATCTTTGAAATAAAAATAGCCCAATATGTCGCTCACTAGCATGTCGCCAGAATTGAAGTAAACGTCACCTGCGCTGAAGACATTGTGCAAAAGCTTCTTCTCTGATGCCTCTCTGTCCGCGTAGCCATTGAAGGCAGTCGTCGCGCGCTTCGAATTTACCTTACCCACCATCAAACCCGTCTCGCCTGGTGCACAACGCTGGCAAAATCCATTGGCGTTTCGGATAGGCTCTCCAGTATCCTCGTCGTATTTAATTATCTGCAGCGGGTAGAAGTAGCGTCCAAACAGTGGTATGAAACCGATAGCACCCACTTGGCTCGTGATGTTGGCTATAAAGAAACAGGCAACATCAGGGCATGAAAAGGCTAAAAATTAAGAAATTAACAAAATAATAACGCGCTTACCTAGATTAGAATTGCCCTCAGTGGAGCCGTATACCTCGCCAATTTGTGGAATATTAAATCTGGATACGAACTGTGACCAAATTTGAGGACGCAAACCATTGCCGTACATCAAGCGTAATTGATGTTGTGTGTCCTCGGGTCTTGGTGTAGTGGACAGCAAATAACGGCACAATTCACCAATATACTGAGCAGCGGTGCATTCGTACTTAATGCAATCCTTCCAGAAGTTCGAAGCTGAAAACTTCTTGCGCATAACAATTGTACAGCCGTGGATTAACGCATTCCCAACACCGATTATGCCGCCAGCTGTATGATAGAGTGGCAATGAATTGTAGATGACATCGTCGGTCCTAAGCGCGAGCATGTAGTAGACACCACTGGACATAAACAAATACCTGCGAATGATTTAACTGCGTTTGTTATTGAAAACCTTTATGAAAATTCTTTTGTTTACCTCAAATTATTTATGACAGCTGCTTTCGGCAATCCCGTGGTGCCGGATGTATAAACATAAAGTAATTTGTCTCTGGGCTTGCACTCGGCAATATTGGCGGTTAAATCCTCGATGGGTTGCAGCCTTAAAGCGTTGGAGAGATCAATGGCACCTGAGTTGAGGTAATTTGCTGTTTTCAATGAATGCAAAAAAAAAAAAAAAAAAGTGTAATTTACCCTTTAGGAGCCTAAACTGATCATTTTCCCGTTGTTCTTCATCACTGAATTGGAAAATTGGCAAGTCTCTGACCTCTTCATCGTCGTACACTTCAGCCAATGCATCACTGAGTTCAGTGCCTACAATGATTGCATTGGCCTTTGCTACTTTGATGGAATGCTGCAGGGTGTCGCGTCGCAAATGCGAATTAATTAACGCTGTCACAACGCCTATCTTAGAAAGACCCAGCCAAAGGCACACGAACTCCGGTCTCGTTTCCATAATTAAAGCGACACAATCGCCACGTTGCAAGCCACGCGCTTTGAAATAAGCGCCAACTTTATTTGTATAATTCTCCACCCACTGAAAGCTCAAACAACGATCTCCCATAATGAAGCACGGCTTTTTGGGGTGTTTTTTCACGCGCTCTTGGAAGATGCGTGCCAGCGTCCGTTGCTTTCGCTCCATGAACATAATGAAAATGTTCAGTCGGATGAAACGATATCCGGCTCTGCAAACATTTTTAATAATATCTTAAATGTGTGATGTACATATACATACTTAAGCATATATTTTGCAACACAAATATTCAGCGCTAAAAACACTTACTTAAGGTCGCGTGCAATGGTCTTCCCGAATGCATAGACGTATTTGGGATTTCTGAGCATTAATGCTAATGTTGCTCCTAAAAATAGACATCCTTTTGTGCTGTTTTTGAATAGGACGAATGCTAGCAAACCGAGGATGAGTATGATAACCCGCGTGGAATTGCGTTGTCTAAAATTCAACTCCAATAAGATTTGCATTTTACCCGGTTTGAAATCTGTTTAACATAAATGAAAAGAGTTTTGAATAGACAATACAATTTTTCAACTCAAATAAGCGGAAGATTCATGCACAAGCAACAGAGAGTTATGATAAAGTTTCCTAAACTGCACTGGAAGAATTTTAATTATTAAAATTTCAAACTCCAGCTTTTTATGTTTGAGGATAACGAAAACACCCGTTCGGTATTGCATGGTACTCTTTTGAAAGTCGCAAAAGCACGGTCCGAACACTGTCAAGAAATTAGCGATCGTCGCTTGGCGCTCCTAGTGCATTTCTCACATGAAATACAATAAAATGTTCACATAAAAATCCAGTGGACGTTCAGGGGCGGCTTAGAATAAACGCACAATTTGTTGCAAGAACATCAAGGAACGCATATTATATATACATATTTACACATATATATTTATTTATATGAGCAATTAAAAACATTCTTGGCTTGTAATAAAATTTTGAATTTTAAATTAAAATTATTGGTAAAGAAAAGAAGAAAAAATAAGAAAAATTTTAAGGTTTCCTCAATCGTCTTCGAAGGTAAAATATTTTTGATAGCCACTGTTTAAATAAAGTGTTTCAAATTCGTAGGAAAATTTTATAAATTTAATGAAAAGCACTGAAAAATACTTATCATTCCGGCTTTTCTATTATATTTATTTTATTCCATTGCGTTATTCGAAATAATTTGAAAATCTCTTACACATATTCACAAATCTAAACAAAAGAAGTAATCACATTTGTTCAAACCAATATTTTTGGAATTTCGTTAGCTAAATTTTGAAACAAATTTTCAAAATAAGTTCTAAAGCGTACATGAAAGCGACGGACATACTTTTTTCAGCAAGGTTTAAAGAACACAAGGTTGCGACAAGAACGACATCTTACGTTTAATGACGTAGTTGGTTCAATTTTCTGGACTGCCGAAATTTGGAAAATAAACTTTTATAATTATTTTTATAATTTATTTTTTTTTTTTTTTTCAATTATATCTATAAAACATCTTAATATGTGTACTTTAAAATTCTCAAGCCTTGAATTAAATTTTTTTAAATTAATAATAATCACAATTAAAACGTTCTGAATAGTTTTAAGTCGATCAAATGTATTTTAATTTCCAAAAAAATTTTGAATCATAATAATTAATATTTATTTAGCTAAAACTTCAGTAGCTAGCAACTCTAACTTTCATGTCATGTAATAGGAATGGCATAAAAAAATTAAGGTGAAAAACCTTAAAAATTATAGAAAATCCAAACGAACGCGCTTTATTATAAAATAATTAATAAAAAAAGAGATTTTCGCATATTTTCTTTGGCTGCCAAAAAGCTTTTGGGAAATGGGGGATGTTTATCGTGTGAAAAAATCGTGTTTAAAAATTCGCAGAGGTGAAAAAGTGTGCAGTGGGCTATTATTGGCAAAAATTTGATTAATAAAGCATGTGTGAGTGATTCATATTAATATTTTCTGAAAAACTAAAACTAAGATGCGATATTATAGCAGATTCGTTAGCCGTTTTATAAATTTTGTGATATAAGTTTTTTAGCTGAAAACTAGAAATTTTGGTATTAAGAAAATCGGATGGTTAAATATTAATGTAATATAACATTTGCATATGTCGGAAAAATATATTATAAACAAGACACTACGAACTTAATCGGTCATCAAAAGTGTCCCTCCACCAGTTGAATTGATTTTTTATGAATATTTATCATTTTATTTGCAAAATACTATTTATTTGTCAAGTTTTCGTCATTTTTTATCCTTTCTCTCTCACTTTTATCCTTCACATCAAACTTCATCATATAACGCTTTGTCAAAATTGAAAATTCCATGTGCTCAACGTTGACGCCGAGTTATGGCCATGAGGATTTTTGACAGTTGCTTAGCGCTTAACGCTCCAATTTTGGGATAGCAGTAAGACTCTTATTCAAATTTGGTAGTCTTCGGCCAAATAGACCATGTTGGTTTCATCAAAACAGGCTAAGCCTTGCACCTTGCACATGTAAAAAATGGCCAAATCTGGGACTGCGGTGGCGGTACGATAGAATATATGTGCTTTTCTTTTTTTTACGAAAATTTTTCCCATAACTATTTTATTAGCATCAAATATATTTATATATATATTTCTTAAACCAAAAAAAAAACTTCTTTTTGAAAATATATATATTAAGACTTGTCCACTGTATATATGACGAAGTTGGTTCCGTGACGTCTTCATTTCAAATTGCTTGTCAAAATGACAAATTTCGAAAATTATGTTCAAGAGCAATCACACGTAGCATAATAATTTCCTTAGTTTGACATCCGATTGTTAAAAACTTTATATATGTATGTATTATATACATATAGTCGTTATTAGCATTGCTTACTACCACTCAGAAGATGAAGGTTAGAGTCTTGGTCCAACCGACATCTAAACTTATAGAAAATTAATTTTTTTAATTGCGTTTCCACCTTGGCAGGGAATGTCATGTCCTCCGAATGAAAAGCTTCTCACAAAATCCCATCGTCCGATGGAAAATTAACCACACGAACACTACTTATTAAAAGAGGAGCTCGGCCACTTCAGCGGTAGAAAAGCACCATTACATATGAGTATCTTTAGAAATGTATATTTATATTGTCTATTGCACCTCTCTGAGGATGGTTTTTGTGAGGACTAATGACCAATATACCCTACACACTGTCAACCATTCGGCTGATGTGGCCTGACATACAAACTCTGTATGGATTTGATTTAATTTCATGAAATTTCAATACCAAACTTCCACTAATTTTTCGAGGAAGACTCAAGTATATCTACAATGCAAATTTTTTGTGTGTATATAGTATCAGTTGATTTGAAAAATCATTTTAAATTGTATTTTATATCTTCTTCTTCTTAATTGGAGTACGTGCTCTAGTCATTTCCAGCAAAGAGAATGGTTAGCATCGATTGGAGACATAAATTAAAACGAGGAGGCTGTACCTTATGTTTCCAATGGAGTGAAGATCTCTTCCTCTGCTTCTACCGACATCATCTCTCATACATTTAGATAGTGTGAAATTTTTTTTGATGTTAATGTTGGTCCCTATATAAGTAAAGTGATCTATTATATTAATTTAAAATTATAATTGTCAGCCAGAACGTGGATTACACAAACCCAATCGTATCGCATATTTGGTCAGTCAAGAGAAATTAGAACTAACGGCGAAGTAATTCAAGTCGATGCTGTAAATATCACTGGCATTTTTAAGAGAGCAAACGCAAGTGAGCAATCGTTTTACGAAATTTCAAAGGCGTGGCACGTTAATTGAATTTATTTTAACTATTTATATACGGTATGTCAATTAATTGTTTGCAAAATGAAAAAATCAAAAAACTCTCTTTTCAAACTTTATTTTGTAAATGAAAGTATTCTATTTTCCTTTTTTTTATTTCTTGGTATTATTAATCTAAGTATTCTTAACAAATATCACTCGCAGAAATAACAAACATTAAAACAGAACAGTGAAAAATAACAAATTTAAAATTCGCCCAATATTGCGTTGTCAATTAATTCTTTGCAAAATGCCCACACAATTCTAAATAAATCGTAGATAACTTAACGGTACCACAAATTTGAAAACGAGAGAACGCGTGCGTCAGAGCTATGCATTGCTCTATTACATTCAATTCGAATAATGCTTTATACAGTTCAGATCATAGTGATTTAGCGCTTTTACCAATGCCGGACAAGCGAACCCATGAAAACCTTAGCAATTAGTGCATTTTAACTACCACAAAGGGAAATCGGCTAAGGAATTAGCGGAAATCTTTTCTATCAAGATTAAAACGATTTATGATATTATTAAACGCGCAGAAAAAGAAAACAGGTTGGAGTCGAGGCAACCTGGAGTTCGACCACCGAAACTTTCTAGACGCGATCATTCAAAACTTTTTAAGCAGATCATTGATAGTCCTCAAACCACCCTGAGAAAATTGGAGTTAGATATTAAAAATGATTGCTATAAAATAGTAAGTCACGAGACAATCCGAAAAGTTTTAAAAATACATACTCAAGTACTCCTCGCGAATAGCTAGAAAAAAACAATTGTTATCGCTGGTTATTATTGAGAAGGGATTCAACTTTTCTTTACAAACGTTTAAAGGACTGCGGAATACTGGGATGACGTTATTTCTTGCGACGATACAAATATAATGTTATACTGACATGGGCCCATGTAAAGTTTGGAGAAAACCCAACACAGCTTTGCAACAGAAAAATATAATTCCAACAGTAAAATTTGGTAAACTTTCTGTAATGGCTTGGGGTTGCATTTCGTCGAAAGGTGTTGGTAAGCTCCGAATTTTCACTGACTTGATGACGAAGGAAGATTATCAAGGTGTGTGATAAGATTTGGATTTGTTGACCTTGAAAACCTTAAAAAAATAAGGTACAAACTGTACCAGGGAAACGATCCCAAATATTGATCGATACTGTGCAGGACGTGGCCACTATTAAATGCAGTAAAGTGATTGACGTTCCTTCCCAGAGTCCTGACTTAAGTCCCATAGAAAGTTTATGGGTTTTTTTAAAGAACGGAAAAGTGGAACAAAATACCTGAAAATTGTGACTTAAACAACCTTATTCAGTCCATGCCCCGTCGTCTTCGAGCTGTTATGGATGCAAATGGCCATAGTACCAACACTGCTATATTTTCCCAGTTTTAATTAGACTAATATTATTTAAAAAAAGAAGTTAAAGAAAATTGTTTTAGCTTATAAAAATCTAGTTGAAAAATTAATTTGTTTGATTTTTTTCATTTTGCAAACAATTAATTGTCATAATGTGTATCGAAAGTATTCATAGATAGACGTAATACAGCAGTTAAAAAATCAAAGGTAAAAATATTTTTCGATTATTACTGGACCTTTAAACTTTATTGATTCTTTAATATGCGATGTTTATATTTATTTTAAAACATACGATTTTTTGATAACGCTTATTTCCTTTTATTTTCCGAATACGAATTGATTAGATTACATACAAGCAAACTCGTTTAAATATCGTTTGTATCTAAAGAAGTATTATAAATGGCTTATATTATATTATATGCGGTTTGCGTACATATTTTCGTATAGAAATGTTATTTCCTTTTTTTACATTTTAACGAAATTATCATGGGCAAGACTAATCGCCTTTGACAGTTGGTATTTCGATGTATGTATTAACATTGGATCAAGATTAGATAATAGCAAGAATGTGATTTTAATGTGAAAAATATTTTGCACCTGTCCGATTTAGTCCGATGGTTCTAAACACCAATGGAAGAACTTTTTGAACTAAAGATAAACCTAATAAAATGTATTCGATGCACGCGATCTAGACTCTAGAACATGCTTTAGTTATAGGCCTCTCCTTCTCACCTCACATAAATGCGTATATGGCACTTTCGTGTATGTGAAATTGTTCTTCATAATTAAACGAAAATAATATTTCCAACTGAACTTAAAAAATCAAAGAGGTAGAAATCGGCTTCTTGAAAATGAGTTCCTACGATGAGTTGTGGTTCTCTCAATATTTACCTTCCTGAACTTTGAAATAAATTTCTTTAAAAACGAATATTTCTTTCAACTAATTAAACTAGCAATTTTAATTTTATCTTTGTGTTTTGTGCTCAAGGCAAATGTCGAACTTTTGTAAGGGACATATTGTAATATGAATTTAAAATTTTATTTTGAACTTTCGACTCTGAAGGAAGATTGTGTTAGGCAGACAGCTCTTATTTTAGAATTACGTTACGGTACAGAGAATCTTGGAGAAACAACTTTTAATGAAATATATTTAAATATTTGTATTTAATTAATTCAAATTTAAATTAGTACAAATTTGTATGTTAAGAAAAATATTTAAAGATGCTAATGACTGTAAACATTTTATTTAATAGCCAATTACCCAAAGTCTGGAATCGTTCTTTGCGGTACCGTTGTCTTTATTAAATGATAAGGACTAAGTTTAAATATCTTGCAAGCCACTTTATGTGCTATTCACATCTTTCGATATATTTGGATTGTCTTTTTGTTGTAAGTCTGTTTTTAAAATATATATACAAACATACAATTAGCACTTTGTTACCGCTAAAGCGATTCTCGACCGAACTCCTTTTTCGATTTGTAGTAAGCGCCTTAACGTTTGGAGTGACCTACGTGTACGTGTTTATTTTAACCTCCTCCGAACGGCCAATGAGGTTTTATTTCATGCTAGAAATACATTCAAAGGGCTTGACATTCTCTTTTGAGGGGCGACCGAAATTAATTTTCTATAATTTTGGATGTTGGTCGTACCAGGACTCGTACCCTGGCAGTCAGAGTGGTTGTACCCAATACTAACTACTCGGCTATTGCGGCCATCAATAAATATTTTTATTATTTTTTACATGAAATGGATTTCCCAAATCTTGACACAATTTGTGGTACTATTCTTACCAACAGTTCTTCTATTTATATGTACGAGTATATTTTTAAAAAAGAACTTACCGATGTTAATATCGTTAAGAATACTAAAAAACATTTCTCACTAATAAAATATGATTTTTTATTTTTTTTATTTTTAACCTGTTTTCGAGAACGACATTTATCTAGTACTTGGGCGGCGATTAAAAGAAGGCAGCTTTATATTATAACGAAAAATTATCGGTATGTAATGTCGAAATGTGTGTTAATAAACGATATTGCATATTGTACAACCCCAATAGGAAAATAATGTTGTTTGATTGAACCATTTAATATAAAATTCCTTCTCTTTTGCAAAAGTAAAAAGAAAACTTTGAGTTCATAGCTTAAGATTTTCCTCGAACATTTTCGAGCAGAATGAGCATTTAAGCAGCGAGTACTCGCACACTCGTTAATTGTTCATTGCTCGAAAACATTTGAGCTCGAGCTAGAGCAATTCGAGCTTTTACGAGAATTTTGAGCAAAAACTTTTGAGGATTTTCTCAGAACATCTTTCTATAATTTGAAATTTATTTATGCAAAGTGAAAAACTCGTTGAAATGCTAAAGAAATTTTGAGGAACAAAATTTAAAAAGGAAATATATAAAAAAAACCAACGACCGAGTTTCGAGCGAGTATCGATCTGCTCGCACTGCTCGATACCCGGGTATCCAAAACTCTATTATGTCTAGATAGAGTAAATTTAATTCCTTAAATATTCGATGAGTATGATTGTAGCTAGCTTTATTTCCTACGGGCTATAAATATTTTCCAAGCAGTTCCAATGTTCAAGCAACAAAATCTCTTACACACTTGTATATTTCATATTTAAAATTATAGTGAATTTAATCAGCCCGAAAAAGTCAATATTCTCATTAAAAGTGCATTATTCTGTTCTTAAGTGGCGAACTCATAGAATACGTTTATTGCATTTTAGCATATTCTTATTACCCTACTTCATATATAGTTTTATGAATAGTTGAGTTGGTTTAGCAATTTTCATCTGTCTGTTTAGTGACTCAGTTTCTGAGACCTCTACAGCATATAGACTAGTATTTCCAGCTTTCAGATTTTTTGTCTTAAATTTGTCAAAAAAGCATTGGTGCTGAAAATGTATTGAAATGCTGACTGTAATTCATAGCTTCCAAACACCAATTTGTTTTTTAAGACATGAGTTTTTTTGTGAAAAATCCGTCAATAAGATATGTACAAGCGTGAATTTTGGTATTCTACCTACGTATGTATATGTGAACATCTAATCATTATCGCCGAAAATCGTCGAAATCGGCGTATTTTATAGTATAGCTCACATACAAGCGATTTGTTCAGACTTCGGAGTGGCCGGAGAGAGATATTCTTCTTTTTTTTAATTTCGTGAATTTACGCAATTTTTGAACGCCTTCTCCACTTTTTTCCGTTATTCCGTTGTTATTATTTGTTATATGCTTTTGATGCAGCATAAGCTGTAATATAAGGGGAGTGTATTTTAGTTCAAAGTTCAATAATTAAACAAACACATTATCTGACAAACAAATTTTTGAAAAATATAGTAAATCATTAACATGAATGAACACACTTTATCTATGTATATACAGTTATATACGATAAGTATGCATGCATGTACATTGTTAAAACTGAATGTTTATCAACTCGCCGGTTAATTATACACGTGTATATGCTCACACCTACACACATTTCCATATGTATATCGGTACGTAGAAAATGTGTACATTAAAAGCTCTTTACCTTGTCTAGGAATTCAGTGTACCGCGACTTTGTCAATGAATTTATATGCACAACACATACTCAGACATCGAAGAGCCAACGACATCAACCATTTTTCTAGCTGTAATTTACTCCATATTTATGTTTGTGTGCGTTGCGTTGTGTAGATTGATTGATAGATTTTCAAATCAACAGCAAATATGCACCAGCGGCAAGTGGTCAGAATTATTGATCAGAGCGGGTACAAGAACAAATCAATTGACGAGCTGGCACACAAAATAAATATCATTGAAGTGGTTAACTCTCATTCGTACTATGCCACTTAGTAGTTATTGAGTTTTTCAATTGCCAATGATTTATTTGTATGTCTTTTAAGCAAATATGGAAATAATGATTTCGAGATTCAAGACCTGGAACCATACAAAATTAATATGTGAAGGTTGCAAATAATAAAGAAGTTGGGTACTTTAATCTGAAAATAGTTCAGATGACCCTACAACTACTACTTGACCTTCCCTTGTACCGTGCGAAACAAAAAAAAAATTAAAATAACAGCAGTTACAGATTTCATAAACGTTGTTTTACATTCAATATTTAATTAAATATTAATTATAAATTGAATAATTCCTCCAATATTGACTAGAATAAATAAAGCTGCAATAGACGAGTGGTTGCATTCTGAAGACCAGGGTCCGAGTCCTAGTTCGATCAACATCCAAAATTATAAAAATATAATTTTTCTAATTGCATTCGCCTCTCATCTACGAATTTCAAGTCGTCCGAGTGCATTTCTGACATGAAATAATGAACTCCTCATAAAAATCCATCGATCCTTCGGAGGATATATTATTTATAGCAGATGATGAGCAAATCTGCTATAACTCTCTAGACCGGAGGAAACTGTAAATTACTTGTAACGTAGCTACTACGTGGAGAAAAACATGCCGAAGTCTGATAAAGAGCTAACTGTTGCAGCCGATGGAATAAAAAATATATTATGGATTTTTTAACAGTAAGCATGCCAACTCTAAAGATAGGAATGGATTTCTCTGTTCTTGCTGAACGCTATGACCATATCAATATAAATGTTGATGTGCTTACATTAAGACCAGTAAGTTTTCGTATATTGTAAACTGTAAAAGAAAAATGTTTAATCTCCACGAATATTTATTTTTGTCCATTTCAAAATATGCTCCTTTTGAATCGATATACATATGCCAACTTTTTTCCAATTATCAAAACATGCCTTGTAAGCGCTGCCCGGGATCGCCGTCAGTTCCCTCTGCGAATTTTCTTTTACGGCCCCGACCAATTCGAAAAGGGTTCCACTGAGTGTTAATTTGAGTTTTGGAAACAAAAGTCCGGTGAATACTCGTACGGTGGTTGATCGAGAATTTTTGGCCCTCAGTACTGACCGTCAATTCATGATGAACCGAAAAACGAATATCGAAAAAGACGATATCCGAAAAATTTCAGGTCTTAATTATTTATAGCAATTACTCCGGATCAAGAAGGTTTAAAAATTAAAATGTCTCATTCAGTGAAAGTAGTTATTGTATTCTTTTCATAGAGAAATCTCATTGTTATCCCCTAAATTGATACGGATGTATTTCAGCTTTTATTAGATATTGAGAACATTCCTTAAAGTCCTATGATCATTATTTTCATCGCTGAATCCTTCCAAAAGCTCCTCTACTAACTGTTATATTCCTTTAATGGTATCCGTAGTGAGCGTCCTTGCGATTTTTTTATAAGGGCATATACATATGTAGTTTTACCAATTTGGCTGGCGATTTTTCCATGATATCCAAAATGCATACAAAAACATTTTTAATTACACACAAATTTTTAACGAGTCTGCGGAGAACAAATTTCCCAGCGATTGAAAGTGACTGTTGATAACATGAAATCAAATTTCCTAAATCGGTATACTGCTTTTTTTAACGTTTTTTATACTAGATGTTGTTTTATATACTATGTATCTTATCATAAGGTTACAAGAATTATTTTTATTTAGTATAGTAATAACATATACTTATGTGTGTTGTTTATAAAAATAAGATTTCGGAGAAAATAAAATTATGATTTTTTCTCGACTTATCCGTGCTTATTCATATTTTGTTGGGAAATGCAGTATTAGAAGACCACAATATTTAATTTACATATATATGTACGAGCGTGCTTATGTATATGCGGCGAGTGTGACTTATAAACGTTGGTATGTTATTAATAAAACATTTTTAAACTCCTTACTAAACGTTAGTAACACGCGAACATTCATTTGCACATACATACATACATATAGTACGTAACCAATATGTATTGTACATTTGTATTTTTAATAATTGTTCCTATCATTGCATGCCAATGTTAAATAACAAAATCAAAAGTGTACATTCATATATGTACATATATAAATATATCTATGTCTGTAAATTTGTATGTACTAATGTAAGTGTAATCACACTTTTATTGTCTCTTATTAACACTGAGTTTTTGTTGCTGTAATTTATAAATTCGCACTATGAGAATTATTTATTGTAGTGCTGTAGTATGCACGTATGTATGTATGTAATACGTAGGCATGTGCATACTGCTCTTGGCGCAAGTTCTGTTTGTGCAAATACAATAGACATACACACATATACATATGTATTAATATGGAAATTCATATGACGCATTCACACCAAATGAAATAGTAATCTCGCGATAAAGTAAAGCAAACGCAACCATAACAACAACGAAGTGATTGCAAGTCACTAGCGTAACCCCTCCGACGCCGTCCCCTACATTCAACGTTGAATTACCTCTTCGCGTATGAATCAGTCAGCTGTTCCTTTTGCTTCACTGCCCGTCACCTCTGCAATCTTCCCTATGACACTTGTTATCAGTTGTTGCTGCGCAGCTGACTTTGCATCTAAATATCACTTGGTATTGGTTTTTGCTACGCTATTTACTCGCAAAGCTCCGTATGTTTGTATGTTTTCATAACACTCGGTTAAAAGCAAAACCTCTCCCACGTACTCGTGAGCGTCGTCTCAATGCAACGGTGACTTTTTCATTTAGCATACACTGAATGACACATATGTACGTATGTATGTAGTTACCAAATTACTTTGGCCATCGCACAATCATAAAAATGCCCGCCAAGTACATCTAATGCCATGCACGAAATATTGACATACATATACTATGTGTATATGTTTGTGTACAAGTTTACATTGAATTTGATTGTTATTGTACTATTCCATTACAAAATACATATGTACATTTGTTTCAACCGCGCATCGGCAATCACGGCAAAATTTCTTTGACAACTCTAGTTTTAGCCGAAATTTCTAGTCTCTTTTACTTCTTCGTGAATATTATACTATTAATGTTTCATGATTTTTATTTGATTTTTATTCAATGGATTTACGTATAAATCGATATTGCGGCACCACAAACCCACAGCCGTTATGAATGGCTCTCGCGAATGAACTGACAACAGCTGCTCCCATACAGCTGATTGCTATATGAATTCGCTTTTCGACTCTTTCGTTACCAAAGCGTAAATACACTCTCATATGCACAAACATATAAACTTATAAATTGACTTAAATTGAGGTTAGTAAAGACTTTAAGGTGGAGCATTTTCCCAAACCACTTGTTAGAATACCAATGAATGGCGCATCACACTGCCGCACGCACATGAATTGAGTTTAGCTGTGTTCGGTGAGCGTTTCTAGGCGGTGTTTAGTAGACAAAATACTTCAGCCAAGACACATACCGGATGTGATCAGTTTTAAAATTTAGTGCAAAGCACGTTCACCATTGCAGAAATCACCAATTTATTACCAAAAATATAATAACTACAATAGCAGCTTTCCGCTTTCGGCGGGACTCCTTCCCCTGTTTTTGGTGTGCATCCTGATGTTCTGCTAACTAAGCCAACTCAGAAGGTCCAATGGATTTTAATGAAAAGCATTTTATTTCATGTCAAAAGTACACTATACAGATTTGTGGCCTGCTCGAGAGACGTTTGAGCGTGCACTTGACATCCATCTAATCCAAAACCCCATCCATTGTGCAGATCCTTAAGCGCTTCCGGCTATCATACACTTGATATACCTTATATACGCATAATGCTAAATTTCTTTCACACCTATCACCGAGCCCGGTCCGGGCGTTATTATTTCAAAATGTATGCCAAAAAACCTTTGCAGCACATCAAAATTAAATAAAAAAACAACTTAGTATGTAAAAATAGTAAAATTCGATAAACAAAGTGTAATCTAAAAACATTTGTATTCATATGGTGAGAAGCGCGAGGTGTGTTCTTTTAAATGGCTCTGAAATTATCGGTAATCCCGTTACTGTAAATTACTTCTTTGCTTATGCTACTTAAGAATGAATCTACCTGCCTGGTTTATTTTCAGCTAGGTTGTAGGTGTAAGTAGTTTTAGAAACTTCTTTAGTTGATCGAATCATATTTGCTACTCTTTCTTCTATTGAACTTTTTTCTCTTCCACCGCCTCCAAACTCAATGCCGTGACTTTCGTGATATAACGCCAAATGCAGTAATAGTCACCGCCAATATACGGCAGATGATAACACGCTCCAACACTCTCTTAACCGCCAATAGTTGCCACAAAACATACATACATATACAATGTGGATACATAGGTACATATTAATTCTTCTCTAGACATTCTTTCCTGTTATATTAGGTTTGTTCAACTAACGATTTTTCCAAAATTGTATGGACTACTGGAGGAGTCTTGTTAGCAACGTTTATCAAAAATTATTTGCGTCCTAGATATATCTACATCCAAATCTGCTAATAATAAAATTCAATATACTTCAATAGAGGTTTTCTCTCAACCAATAAAACAAATTCACTTGAATGCCATAATCCGTTACTTCTAGCATAATTGATAGTCGGTAATCAAATGTTCGGTTCTCCCGACTTCTGCCCTTCTTACTTGGTATATACATGTTGTATATATTTGTGCGTATGAGAGGCTTTTGATGTGGCTTATTGCCGTTCTGCTGGCTGGAGTATGATTGACTCCTGTTTGGCATCCTGCTTGTGTTGTCCACAAATGGTTCTTTGAAATCAAAAACAGATGTTGATTGACATAAAATAAACGCTTCAGCCCACTTTTACTCCCCATTACGGCCTTTACAATGCAATTTATAAATTTCAGGTATAAATGTGAAAAAATTCAATTATTTAAATTTTATATTGCATATATTATTTTAAATTATGTATTTTGCTTTTAAATACATATATGTAGATAAACACTAATAAATCTCGGAAAGTAAAAAACTGTGGCTCGTACCTACTATAGTGAATCCGGAAAGGCATAGACATAATTTTCCTCTACTGCTTAACGGATTATCCATCTCGGCACTGGGTATAATATGCGGTTAAAAGCGCCAGGAACTTTTCGATAGGAACTTCAGCGATATTTATAATAATTTTCAGAAAGTTCGGGAAATTTTTTTGAAATATTAAAACTTTAAAAAACGTGCCAGCCATATTATGAAAACAACTGTCCGTCCAGTAAATTCAGAGAATGTTAATGTAATGAGAAGGCGCAAATGTTAAGTCACGTCGGATCAGAGAATGTAAATACGTTCTCTGGTCGGATCGCTTAGCACATAAAAGCCCCAATGGGGAACCGGTCGAAATTGACGACGCGACCCAATAGGCAACTGGCAAAAAGGCAATTTCGCACTCAATTTGCAAGAAGGAAATGCTCAACTAAAAGCTCATACAGTGCCGTATTTAGCCTTTATGCATGTACTTTTATGTGTGTTTATAATGCAGGTACAGATGACGTAACCATAAAAATTAAATAAATAAAAAATTAATAGAAAATAAAATATAAATAATGCAATATACCAAGATCGTCAAGAAGAAGTGGCTTGCGGGTGACTTTGGAATGTGAAGGGATGAAGGTAGGAGGGAATGCATGTGAGCGTTGTTCTTGCCTTTGAATTTACCATTGATCAAAGTCTTTTCAAAGACTTTTCATCGACGAATTGGGTTGTGGAGAAAACGAATGCGGGGTTATTGGGGAATATGCAAGGAATAGCGAATGAGAACAGACAATTTATGAATGAAATATCCTTTTATTATGCATGTAGATTTTATTATTTTATCAGGACACATACACCTTCACACAAATTAAGCTGATTACATATGGATATGTATGACAAACGCATACCATATAAAATAAACTTAAATGAAATGAAATAAAATAAAAATAATAAAATAAAATGAAATAAAATAAAACAAAGAAAAATAAAATAAAATAAGATAAAATAAAATAAAATGAAATAAAATAAAACAAAGAAAAATAAAATAAAATAAGATAAAATAAAATAAAATAAAATAAAATAAAATAAAATAAAATAAAATAAAATAAAATAATATAAAATAAAAAAAAATTAAATTAAAATTATTACAATAAATGAGATGAAATGAAATAACATTAATTAAATGCAATAAAATAAAACAGAATAATTAAATCAAATAAAATTAAAAGTCATATGAAATTAAATTAAATTAGTTGAAATAAATTTAAATTAAATAAATCAAATGAAGTAAAGGCCAAAATATGTGCAACCATATGATTATGTAAATACCTGGCTTACTCATTTCATTTGAGCTTGCTAGAATCTTACATTTCTGCCTTCTCATTATATTAACATTCTCTGATAATAATGACAGAGAATGTAAATGCAATGTATTTACATAATCATATGCTCGCACATATTTACATTCTCTGATAATGAGAAGGTGCGAATTCATTGCAACACTTATAAATTCTCTGGCAACTTCTGAAACACATCGAGAAAAGAACTCAACCCGCTGTTAAATAACAGCCACCACAAAATTAGTTTTGTTAGCAGAGGCAGACAACTGATCTTCTGTTAAAAACAGAGATATCGTATACAATTACTTTCTCTATGTTAATGTATTTCTTTGCTTTTAACCAAAGAAATTAATAACAAGATTGTTTATAAAGAGCTTAAGTCACTCCGTTTTAATTTTTTTATTATTCTTCTCATTATTATAAGTTCCCTGTTAAAGGGAAGAATCAAAAACTAGTGCCTAAAAGTATGCAGGGGAGAGATCAAATGATATCAAAGATACCAAACTACTACCTTAAAAGCACTTCAGGTTATGCTCTGTAACTCCCTTTTATTGTCCTTGAAAAACGCGTCGGACATAGACGACTACAAAAAACTTATTTCGCAATTTTTCCCAAGGTGATCAGGAATAGTGGTTATAAACTTACTTTTAATTAATCTTGTAAATATTGTAATATTCATTCATATTTTATTATACCATCCACGTGTATTAAATGGCATATAAATTACATCTTTAGTATGTAAGTGTCAGAAGGAGAAGAGAGAGATCTATCTAAGTATATATTGTTATAATCAGCATGACGAACTGAGTTTATGTAGCCATATCCGTTTGTCTGTTTAGACGCAACCTAGTCCCTCCGATTTTGAGACATTTCAACCAAACTTAGTGTACCGCTGTACTGGTGCATTGACCGAATATTTTTATAAGCGCTTGAAACTTGACATGACACATTCGTATTTACAAAAAAATAGTGTCGCCGAAAATTATCAAAATCGGGCAACCTTATCAAATTGCCCCTATATAACCAATTGGCTCGGGTATAAGGTGTTGGTAAAAAATCTGTAGAAAAACAGATAAAGCCATTTCGTATTTGATGTTTTTTCAACAGTTTCTTTCTAGGCCGTCTTCGAAAGGCGCCATTCATTTCTACTTTTCGCGCCAATGTGAAATCCCAAGTAAGGAGGTCTTCCTCTTCCTCTGCTTCCACCAGCGAGTGCTGCATCGAATAATGGCGTGCTTTTATCCATTCGGACGGCATGACCTAGCCAGCGTAGGTGATGTCTCTTCATTCACTGAACTATGTCAATATCATCGTATAGCTCGGACATCGTTGTTCCATCGTCTGCGGTATGCGCCATTCGCATTTTCTCTCGGACTGACAACTCGATGTTTACATCGTTCATGATTCTGCTTCATATAGTAGGTCCGGTATGACGAGCGAATTGTAGAGTTAGAGTTTGGTTTTCGTTCGCCGAGAGGGGACTTTACTTTTCATTGGGCTAAGTAGGCCCAAAGTAACACCTGTTGGTAAGAAGCTAACATTATTTGTGTTAATGCTGGTACCTAAATAGACGAAAGTATCTACGACCTCGAAGTTATGACTGTCAACAGTGACGTGGGAGCCAAGTCGCGAATGCTAAAACTGTTTGTTTGATGACAGGAAATACTTCGTCGTATCCTCGTACACTACTAGACCCGTTCGCTTCGTTTCTTTATCAAGTTTAAGACAGCTCATTTTCGTGTTGTCGAAAGCTACTTTAAAAACGATCGTGCGGCGATCGGGTCTAAAGCCACACTGATAAGATGTAATCCATCGGTCCTCAGGCTATTGCTGTTTGGACTTCCTCATAGTTGGGTAATGGAACAACTTTTCCATCGTCATCAAATGGAGTTTCTGGTTCGCTTTCTCCATGTGTTTTATTTTCACTGCCATTCAGCAGGCTGGAGGCGTGTTGTTGTTGAAACTTTCCTTAAGTCGCCGTATACTTTCGTTGAATTCTGGAGCATTAGCCTTGTCGACCAACTTCTCAAGATACTTCAAACTTTCCCGATTAAGCGACGTGACTTTCCAGGTCCACGCCTTAAAATCGTAATTCGTAAAATATTTGCGGGGGTCGTCATCAATAGAAGGTTCTTTCATCCGAGGCATAATTAGATTTTTTAATGGATTTTCTTTTTCATGTGGTAGGTCCCAAGCCCTACGCATAACGCGATTTAGCTCAGCTCCAATCGGATATTTGTTGGCTACTCAGAAGATGCTTGGTCTAAGAACGGAAGTCGTGAGCTGCTTGAACCATATGCCACTCCCAGGTGAATGGCAGCAAAAACTTTCCTCAGTTTCTTTACACACGGACCCTAGAATGTAAATAAAACGAATTTCTTCTAAACTATAAAGACAGCTCGGTTAAAGGAACGGCCATACTCAGGATGGAAAGAACAAATAATCGGCTCTAGGAGAATAGCGGGATCATAATTAGTTTATGCAATAAAATTATGCAATTAAAACTTATAAGCGGAAATATCTTCAACCTACTTGTAGTACTTTTTGTCAATCAAAATATCAAATTTGTCAAAAAAAAATATTTTTCATCAAAAACAACTTAAAAAAAATCATGACAAAAAATCTAATTATTTGTATTAAATTTGACGTTGAATAAAAATATTTGTGGATTTAATTTGAAATAAATTTTTTGTGGAATGTCTACTGCCCTTTCAAATTTTGAGAAAGTTAACTTATGATACATTCGCGGAAATGTCGTCGGAAAACTTTGAAGAGCTCACTGACGTTGAGCTGCACCGCAAACTACTCGAATATGAGTTCCCGTATGTGCCCATTACAGAAACTAGTCGCGGATTTCTTGTGAAAAAGCTGAAGAATCACGTAAGGAATTTGAGAAGCCGGAAAGCTTCAACGAAAACGTTTGTAACGCAGCGCGAAAAACAAGAGCTAAAAAACCTGCTAACACAAGCCAATGACTGGAGCAAACAAACTCTTCAGCGCAGTCCAGACTTAAGTGAAACATTAACCCCTACGAATACCGAACAATCTATTTGTCCTGATACCGACTACACACTACAAGCTGATCAATTACTCCACTCATCGCTAAACCCCTCACTCCAGCGAAATAGAACACACAGATCAGATCAGCAAGTTGCCACTTTAAGCGACAATGATTCAAATGGATTCTGCTGCATGATTTGGAAAGTGTTTGGCATTCAAGAAAATTATACCAACTGTGTGTGGTGGTCCTTTGCGCTGTTTTTTGTTGTGATTGCATTTATTTATATGATGAAGAGCGCCGATTTTTCACAGTACATCAACAAAAATAATACGAATTACGTAATCTGCGAAAGGCTTGATTCGACCGGGCCGTTTTTGAGGCCACCATTTGTCTGCATCGAAAGGGAACGTCTAGATCCAGCCTTAGTGGTTGTTAGGAAACTAATGCTGCAGCTGAAAGAACGGTACGAAAACCACTACTGTTACGATCAAAAGCAGTCGAGAACTCTTAGTGTGACTGAATTTATTAGATCAATGTTCGAAGAAGGTAGCTCGGTAGACATGCGCATCGTCAGAGAGGCGCAGTATCTTATCACTTGTAATCCTCAATGGAACATTAGGATGGTAGACCACGAAGGGTCGCCAGTTATTTTCAATGGAGTTGACAGGATACTTCCCAACCAGAATACATTCTTCGTTCTCAAGCGGCCTCAATTGCCTTTAGCTTGTTTGTTGTACCATAAAGCACATCAGTTTAAGGGTTTCATTGGTAATGCCTCAATTCTAATGTGTTTGCTAATCCTGTTCTATCTCTCTTATCGCTATGTATGTCGAGTCCAAGAGCAACATTTGCAGGCTGTGCAAAATCTTCTTGATAACATTGTAGAGGAACTACAGCATCGTGCAGCGGATAGTGAAAATTCTGAAGGACGTGAAGTTGTTATCGATAATTTGCGTGATCAACTGTTGCCTTCTAATAAACACATATGTGAAATGAGATTTTGGAATGAGGCCTTGAAGGAGTTGGAATCGAAAGATAGTCGAGTACATTTTGATTTTACGATGCGGGATGGTCATGAATGTCGCACAATACGTTGGGTGGATACTAACGAGGATCAAGAAAAACCGATTACGGTAGAAACTAACTGTTAAGTTTTTATCTAATTGTTTGGCATTTGTTGTATTTTAAATTAAAAAATATTAATTTAAGTTGTCTGATAATGATATGTCTAATTTAATATGAATCTCTTAGTTGATAGATACTCACGTATGTAAGTATATCTGAGTATTGGTTTTGAAAGAGGCATATTTATCATGAGGCAAAGCACATCTCGCAAATCACTTGTATTCGATCTGATATTGCGGCTTACGCTTACTAATTAATTATTAAATATATCACTGAAAGATTAAGGCAACTGAAAACAGGGATTTCGGTCTGTCCTTAAAGTTAGATGAATACTCGTATCTTAAAATCTGTATTTCATTTTAGATACTGATTTATTTCTATTTTCCAATAAAACAAATACATATTTACACATATTGACTTTACTTAATAATATTTTTTAGTCATGCCAAGTTTTATTGAAGTGATTCTGTTTCAGTGATTTTTAATAAAAAAAAGCCGATTGCTTAAATTCGGAAGAATGATTTCTCAAATATTTCGGGTTCGACCACTTAATTGTTAAATTTTGTCATCAAATTATAGTACGAGTTATTTATTGTAAAGAAGTTACCCAGTATTTGCAACAAGTTCAGAATACTGGCTTCGCCTTGCCCAGTATCCTTGAATGAAATACGTTTGTTAGTTTGATTAGTTTACTTCTCATACTCTTCATCTACTTCCCTTCGTCTTGGTTAAATTTGAATAAAATATATCATGTACAGGCATTTCTTACAACAATTTGTACATCAAATAAAAGGTAATTTTGTACTCTTTTTTGTACTTTTGTACTCTTATATATATATATGTATGCATATCAAATTAAAGCTATTTTAATTACCTGTCCTTTGGTTTCAGCAATAAAGAAATCAGTTAAGTTTTTTTTTTGAAATATAGCCATTTTAAAAATTTAGATTTCTCTCCTTTTCCACCTCCCGGCGCCCACAATATTCATTTGTACAAGAAATGTTATATACCCTTGAAATCATTTAAAAAAGTCTCCCTTCAGACATAGCAGTGTAGAGGCAGCTGCAATTCGTGCTGCCGAAGGCTGCTTTGAAGTCGACGAATAAGTGGTGTGTGTCGAATCTCCTTTTAAGGGTCTTTTCTAAGATTTGGCGCATGGTGAATATCTGGTCAATGGTTGACTTAGCAAGTCTAATCCCACACCGGTAATATTCATACCGCCGTATGTGAATAGCTCGGCCGGTAATCCATCGGCCCCCGCATCTTTGTTGTGTTTTAGGCGGGCCATTCTTCTTCTTTTTTTTACGGGCGATCTTCGATACAAAGAGGTGCGTGCGTATTTTCGCTATACCAAGTTAGTGATTCGAGTCGATGTTAGGAACTTGGAACGTACGCACATCTAAACTACTGGATACAGTCTTCCGCCTACCACAACATTATCAATCTGGTTGAAAATTTTTCGATCTTTAGACATCCAAGTAGCTTGGTGAATTTTCTTATGCTGGAATTTAGTGCTAGAGACAACCTTATTTCGAGCCCCTGCGAAGTCGACCAGCCTCAGTCAATTTGGAGATGTTTCGTCGTGGAGGCTGAATTTCCCGACTGTTGTTCCAAAAATACGTTCTTTGCGCACTCTAGCGTCTAAGACGCCAAGCACAATTTTGGCGTCGTAGCGGGATAGCGCTCATAAGTGTACTCGAGGCGGGGGAGTGTTCGCATATCAACGATGTGCTTAAGAATTTCGTTTTGATGTGGATTGTGGCAAGAAGTTCATCCACCGTAGTGAATGCCAGTGCTCGACGACGGAGTCTCCCTAAAAACAAAAAAACAACAAATTCGCGTTCCTTCACTTAGCCCTTGTAGTAAATTTCACAAGGACTGACCTTCTTCCGTCTTTGTTTCGTCCACTATTAGAGAACTGCGTATAACAAAGCAGAGGAAAAGTTTATAAATTGCAGTTAATGATTTGTATCAGTGTGAAAGCGTTTGATGTTGCCATGATATGATAATATCTTTCATTCTTCTCAACGTGGCTGCCAATTTCAGCTCAATAGCTATGGACTTTGGCTTCTTTAGGGACCTTATATCGTTAATAATAATTTAAAATGCTTTTTTACTTATCCTGTAGAATGAAATGAATCTAAGTAATTAGACGTACTGCATTTTAATGATAACAACCTTGCGAGAAAAAAATTGAATTTTCTTAAATCTAAGCCAGGCTAAAAGTTGCTGAGAAGTTTTCAGAATATACAGTGGCGAGCATTAATGGATGAACTTACTGATGACATTTTTTATGTCATTTATTATTTATTGTACTTACAGAAAACATAAACAATAATAATAAGAAATTAAATGCAACAATTTTATTGCTATAATATTGTACATTACTGCATTCATCCAATTTTTTCACGTGAGAAAAAAAAACATATTTATTAAGAAAACTTAATATTTTGTCTACTTTCGTACTTTCGTACACTTAAAATGCGTTTTGGCATACTTTCTACCAGTTTTCCGATTGTACGATTTGGTATTTCCGCCCACTCAGTCTGAACTCTACCCCAAAGCTCTTCCATATTTTAGGGGCTTATTTTAAGAAGTGCCCATAAATTTTCGATGAGGTTCAGCAGTGCAATTCTGTAACTTTTTCGACACGATTTGTCGGATCGCAAAGTTACGAATTTTGTCGCTTGCGCTAACGATTATGCGATTCTCTAACACAGTTGTTACGATAATCGACATCGCACATTTCCATTTTATTAAAATGTAGGAAAGGTGGCACCACATCTCAACGAAACGTCAAAATGTACGAAAAGCACAAAGAGGAATGACAAAAACAAACAAATTTGTTATTAAAATTATTTTAATTAAAAGAATAGCAATGCATTACAAAGTTTTTCAATAGCATGTTATGGTTTGCACTTTCTTGCATGTCTCTTCGCTCTATAGGGAGCTCCAAATAAAATAATTGTGCCGCGCTCTTGGATACTTGGCATTTGCCAGTATAATCTTGCGATAAGGACCATATATCTATGTGAAAATATAATTAACTTTGTTACTACAATAGTAATCGAAAACAAATTTACTCTCACCATTTGCACATTGATGGAATGGGATCCATGGTGGTTTATATACGCTTCTTCATGATTTTTAACTCATGTGCAATCGATAGCTCCAATAGTGCCTCCAACATATGGTGACGATGACGAAGCAAAAATTTGGAAAACTAACAGAAAACCTTGATCGGTTGATTGCGTCTGTTACGCGATGAACACAACGGTTTACTGACGACTGACTCATGGACATCCCCATTGCAAAAAATCGCGAGGCGGGTAGAACCTTTAAACATTATAAAAGCGTTAAGACTAAAAAAAATATTGAAAATATATATTATTACCTGTTTCTCCGTAGACAATGCTGTTATTCTTCTTCCTTTTAGTTGACAATTTTGTCAGAAACGATTTCTTCAACTAAATCCGGCGAAACTCGGTAGCATCCAAATGAAAAGGATCTTCAGCTTCTCGACGCAAAATTCTATCCGATGGGTAGGATACCTCTTCATCTTGTGATAAATCCTATGCCAAATATTCAAAAGCCATTTATTTTATTATTTTATTTTTATTTTTGTATTACTTAGACACTTTACTCTCTTATATGAAATAACAAAATTTTGTCGATATCGCTAACAACTTAAAAATATTCGTCGCTTAGTTAACGATTTTTCGAGTAGTTTACGACAACAGCGAGAGCGAATATCGTTAAAACAAGTACACCGAATATTAAAATCGTTAGAATTTTCGCAAAGTCTTCTTTGCAATCCGAAAATCGTTATACTAGTCTTAGAGAATAGCGAATATCGTTAAAAATATCGTTAAGTCTTCTTTGCGATCCGAAAATCGTTATACTATTCTTAGAGAATAGCGAATATCGTTAAAAATATCGCTAAGTCTAATTTGCAATCCGAAAATCGTTATACTGTGCTTAGAGAATAGCAAAATCGTTAAAATTATCGTTAAGTCATTATAACGATCCGAAAATCGTTATAATACGATAGAGAATTGCCCTACAGATCTGGGCTTTGTGCAGGCCAAATGTTGATGGCTAAGCAATTTGTCACGATTTTGACTGTGTGTTTTGGGACTCCATCTTGCTGAAACATGACCTTGCCTTCGGGATAAGTGCGGAAAAGAATTTAGGGAGGGACTTTCCTTATCACTTAGGGAAGTAAAAAATAAACGTTAGCCGATTCTCAGACTTACTGAATATGCACATAAAATTTCATTAAAAATAGTCAAGCCGTTTCGGAGGAGAATCGTATCTAACACTGGGACCCGAGTATTTTATATATTAGATAATTGGCGCTTTGTAACCGCTGTAACGATTTTTGGCTGAGCTCCTCCTCCAATTGTTTGTATGCGTCTTGATGTTTTTCCTGAAAATGCAGGGCATTAAATAGTCTGGACTGTTTTTTATCAAATCGGACGGAGTGGACGCATCCATTTACTTGTTGAACTGGGACCAAATCGTCGTATATTTCGTACAGCTCATTGACGCATCTGCCAAATTCGTCGTTGCTAATGTGCAAAAGACCACTAATTTTGCGCAAACCTTTTTTTCGACTCATCAAATGTCGACATCGTCCATGCTTCTGCATCATATAACAGGACGGGAATAAAGGATGAGGAACTTTACTTTTAAATTTCTCACTCGGGGATTCTGCGTAAGATGTTATTTCTGGTTCCAAGATAGACGAAATTACACACGACTTCAAAGCTACGATTGTCAAGTGTGGCATGAGGGCTAACTCTGTTTGTTTGATGACTGGAAACTTTCGTCTTTTCTACCCTGGAGAAAACGAAGCTCTCTCTTGTATATACAGCTTATTATTTTCCATGAAATATTCTTCACAGACTGTTCCCAAAACTAAATTTCGATTTATCCCCTGCCTTTATCGGTACCTTCTGTTCATCTGACATACCAATATTTATATATGAAAATCGTGGTGCGGGAAATGGATAATGGATGAACATATACGTATTGAAATAATTTTCAGAAAGGCAGCAATATCCGAACTCACACGACAACAATTTTACTACACGCAAAAAAAATCATCGA